TAGCTTCTCGGCAGTCGTGCACTGGGAAGCCGTAATGAACCTCCTGGTACTTTTCTTCTCCAGGCTTGGAAACTTTCTCCGGTGTTTGCGCAGGTGAAAACCAACCAATTCCTGGAATAGGTTTCTTTGTAGATAGCCGATTAACCGGCATACCTTTAGGGCATGAGCACACGGCAAATCCCATTGCATAGGGAATACGCATTTGCAACTCGGGGCGCCTGCATATTTCACCTGGAAGGAACGCCCACGGGAGGTGCGCACATTCCAGAACCCCTTGCCATATCCTATGCCGGTCACCTTGTTTACTATATTTGCTTCAGCAACACTGCGTGGATACATCCCTAAGGAACACAGCGCCTCGGTGAACCAACGTGCACATGAGGGGTTTTGACCTCACTCATGTGAGCTTTCGCTAGGCGGCTTTCCCTTGCCTGTTCTAATTCATGCTTATGTCGTAACACCTTAAACAATTGAAAGACACGTGCCCTACGGGACAAACCGTGTTTCAGGTGCCTATTCTCTACCTCCACACTGTTCGTGGTGAAATCGCCCAAATTTCTTAGGCCCTTTAACATACGTTCTGCCCAGTTTTCCGTGTGGTGGAACCACATGCTGTTAAGATACCTAAACGCTTCCTTACTTCGAGCACCGATGGTAGCAAGCGATTTGTTGAACTGCTGTTCGGTTTGTGTATACACCAAATTACTCATCTATTACGCAACTTTTCTCCGGTCCATAGTGTTGCAACCTTTTAAATGAGCGCAGCGCCTGCGCATGTCTCTTAATACATGGATCGGCAGAATACCACATGCTCATTTCGAATGCATGGTTTGAAAGCCTTCATTCGTGCTAAGCAGCGAGCTAGCACCAACGTCATTGAGGTGCGGGTTTTGGAAACTGTTCCGTCATTCGCTGCACCGCATCATGGCAGCTGAGCACAATTTCGTTAAGCATGAGGGCATAGAAATACTACGAGCAATGCTGGTTTCTTAAATCAGCATTGCATGCTGTAGCACATAAGCACCTTAATTGTGTTGATGTGGGGCGTCTGCCAGGATGACATCACAGAAGCGATTACATAATGGTAAAACGCTTCGCGGTGGCTAGCCGAACAACCTCCTCGTGGTGCCAGCTGGGTGGTTCGGGTTTGACCCGTTCCAGCAAATAGTTCGGTGGCAGTGTTCCAGGGCGTGGTGGGTTTTCGTCTAGCAAGCGTACTCCCTATAAAAAGCCACAAATGTCTGCTTAACAACACTGTGACGTGGCGGTCGTGACTCGCCACAAAATAAAGTCACTGCCCCGTGGGTATCCGAATATTCCTTTCCAACGCACAGACATCCATCTTCTACTCGAGCATTACCGACGATATGAGAGTGAAAATTAGCGCAGCACAGTTACAAACAGGAACCTCACAGTTACACACCCACACACACACAGCTACATAATTACATACCCCCTACATAAACATACACTGGTACGGCAAACATAACGTATTCTTGCACATTCTTGACCGCGCATTGTTGTCATAATGATCATGCCTGTAAAGGCGTGCCTCGCCTTGTCGGAAATAAAAGCTTTATTTATTTAGCTTTATTTATTTGTTTTCCACTATGTTGCATATACCTTTACCCCGCAGAAGCCTCCTTACTCGAACGGCTTCGTTCGCGTGTTCCATTTTTGTGTGCCGGTTAAGTATAGACCTAACGTCTGCACGTTCTAACAGCACTTCGAAGGTACCAAACGCGAAAGCTCTTATCTTACTCTCCTCGTACTCTTACCACATTGCATGCGCTCAAAAACTTGCTCCTAATCCTCTTGTGTCACCCTACGATTACGCACGTATACCCAAGTTTTTGCTACGTGAAAATCATGGCTATGCACCACAGAGTAATCCGTTATCTTATACGAACCATCAACAAACGGCACGTGACATGAGCGGCACAGTTGCAGTCTCTGTAACTAAATGGGCAGTATTAGCGTGATAAATGAAATCACTTACCTGAGGCCTTCACTACGTTTCCGGTGGGCACGAACACATCCGTACTTCACTTACAAATATGCCATCCCTATCGGTAGCACAATGCCATGATATCGGGGGCATCGACCGGCGAAATTCAGAATTATACACGACAAATGACGTGTAGGACTGATGTTTAAATGCCGAGAAGTCTTTCCGGAACGCTTCAATTGTTCCATCTTCATTAGCTGTTTGAATAACTGACCACGGTCCAACACCCGCTGTGTTGCTGACGTAGATCAGTTGCAGCCGTAATCCCCACCCAAAGCCATCGATGCCGACCCCTTGATGAACGTGAACCACGTACCATCCTTAGCGCTGCCAGGTATGGCGAAGAAAGATTGCGCGATCCCTTATTCACAAATTCATCAATGAAAATTAACACCGCACAAATTTTCCATGAAACAATCTTTTTTAACGTTTCCACCGGTTCCCAAACGCACTGGTTACGATTTCAACGTTTACTTTGCGATGTTCTAATTAAGTTGCCCGCTACAACCGGTAGACAAATTGTCCACTATCCCAAAATTTTGGACTGCGTACGCAAACGCAATGCCCCGTACCTTACTTTTGCAGCCAAAGAATCATATGATAACCGAAAGTACATATTATCATTCCTATTACCCACCACAAGATTCTGCTGCGGAAACTGTCATCTTACGGCGTTTCAGGGGACTTGATGGACTGGATCCGGAATTACCTCCAAAACCGTACCTTCCAAGTACGCGTCGACGGAGCGTTGTCTCCCCGCATCCTTGCCACAAGCGGAGTTCCACAGGGGTCTGTTCTCGGACCGCACCTCTTCCTAGCCTTCATTGACGACGTCACACCGCAAGTGGAGTCCTCGCTGCTACTATACGCGGAGGACGCCAAGCTGTGGCGCACAATTAACCTTCCGGACGATGCCCACGCACTTCAGACGGACCTCGACCGTCTAAATCAGTGGTCCATAGAAAATAACCATCCTTTTAACGCTTCGAAATGTCGCGTCCTTTCTACCTGCTCTTCCGCTTTTTCTCCTGTATATTACCTGGGAGCGTCTATCCTCCAGATCTCTTCAGCCGAAAGAGACTTGGGTATCATTACCCAGACGAGTCTTTCCGTATCCGCTTCCTGCCGGAAAGCAGCTGCTGCTGCTAACCGCCTGGTGGGATTGCTGAAACGAGCCTTCGGTCAAATTGACCCCAGCAATTTCCGCCTCCTCCATTAACGCTTTTCTCCGACCCCACTTGGAGTTCGCTATTCAGGCTTGGAACCCTTGGTTGTTGAAGGACCAACGCATACTCGAAGCCCCACAACGTCGAGCAACCAAACTGGTCCGAGGTCTCAAGCACCTAGATTATCCACAACGACTTCAGTGCCTGGGCCTCTACTCGCTTAAGTACCGACGTCTACGGGGCGACCTGATCCCCGTATTCATGATCTTATCCAACCCTGGACATCCCTGTCGCCACCTACTCACACTGCACCAATCGGGTTCCCACCTACGTGGCCACCCACTGAGGCTCACACATCAGCACAGTCGGCTGAACTGCAGACGACACTACTTCTCTTTGCGAATATGCCGACCGTGGAATGCTCTGCCGGCCGATTTAGTCTTGGCACCCACTGTGGCGGACTTCAAGGCCCGCTTGGACTGTCATCTGGTCGAGCTACAACGCGATATTCCCTAATTTAACTACATTCTACTGGATGGAATTTCTTTCTTTTCTTCCACCTTCCTTTCCAAAGCCGTTTTGGAGAGCGTGGTTGGATGTCTCGCTTTGAGCCGGCGTGCATTCTGTTTAAATGCCACATAAGCCCGATGAAGATACGGCTAACACGCGAGTCCAACCCGCTATAAGGTTGCTTGGTCTTTCATTAAACCCGACTCGTACTCTTTTTACCCTATGGGTCATGTAAAGCTCCAGCTTTTATTCCCATTAAATACAATGTTCCAATGTACCTTTACATTTAGTTATGATTGTTTTTATAATTAGCACCTCGCTCTGATTGCCTGCTGGATGACCTTAGCGTCATTTCGAAATATATTCGCGACCTTGTTTCTCCTCATCCCTTCCATTTTTCCTATTTTTGTCTGCTGTTTTTTTTGCTGTGTCGGTTTTTACCTGGGCTGCCATCAGTTCGGGGCTAGTTTGATCGAGGTGGGTTTTATGTTGCATCATTTTCTTAGCACCTTGTACTTGCCGCATTTCCACCCCGAGGGCTTTTAGTAGCCCTACGGTATTATTTCTACGATGTTCTAACATTCATTTCTCCGATCAGTTGTGTACTCCTAGTTGTACTTTTTGCAGTTTGTGGAAAGGTGCACTTAGCTGATGTCCAGCGCTATCCGATCAAAAGAATACAGGTGTGCACACCTTAGCCGATGGACGATTCATCGGATTATGCGAATATTGAGGACTCAAATCTCAAGCGGACCAGATTGAGCAAGAGCGCTTCAGACACTCCCGAGCAATGTAACCCGGTTAATACAGGTTAGTCATCCAGACTGGTTCGCACTTTTGAAAACCTTTTTTCTCACGAATTTAAGGCTTTTAGCCACCAGTTTGCTTTTTGATGTTTCGTAGCCTAACACGACATTGGTGCCTTAAGGGTAGTCCGTTTGCTAGTTACAGCTGCCTTCATGCACATGTAGCAATTCCAGACGTAATAAGATCCTACCTGCTTACAGCACCTGACATCTGCCGGACGAATTTTTCCTTACATCCGCTTCTTGTTCCGCATTATTAAAATATTTTTCCCCTTGGACTCCTCATTTTGCATAGCCTACTGTATTCTGCCGGCGATTGTCTTCAGATCGGCCGCCATGGACGTTCGCTACTGTATTACCTATCCAAGAATATATACGCATGCAACGCGACGGCGCAAACCTTATTTTGGTCCTAATAACTCCATTTTATCCCAAATACATGACTTTTGATGTTGTTGCGCCTAGTGAACAGAGCTTTGAAAATTACCTACTGTCTGGCCATTGCCTCTTCACGGCTGTTCAAATTCCGTTATGGATTTGGTCAGTTTCACGGCTAATGTGCATTCCCACACAGTTCTCAGAAAAGTTTGTGCAATTTGCCATCATTGGACCACTGACCTATTACTGGCATTCTGTAACTGACACAAATGTTGCATGGTGTGTATATCGTCCTCAATTCACCAATAATTCATGTTTTTATCAGCTGGTTTCCTCCTCCATTTACCACTTTACAAGATGTGTCCCTAGTAGTTGCGGAATTGTTAAACGCTTTGCGTTATCTTAGATTTCACTTTGCTAGCTGCATTAGTTTTTCTAATGCCAGCCCGTGGTCTAAAGGATCATAACCCTGCTTTGTAATCTGAGGGCACGGGTTAGAGCCTGCGTAGGGGACCGGGAGACCCCCGCAATATTCTTAAACCGCGTTTGACAGTTGGTTGCGCGGCAGTGAAGCATGGATACTGCGTACCGACCCACTGCTGATAGCTTTTTTGGCCGTAATGCCCTGAGGTTATTTAGTCGACAGCCAATATTGTTCTGTTTCATAAACCTTTTCTATGTTGTATCAGTGCATCTCACGGATTGCGGTACGGACCCAGCGGAAGACGAGTTCCACTATAGACTCTCCGACCTCTATACTAAGCGCTGCAATGATAACGTGCTGCTCGCCGACCACTTAAAATCGGTTGGTTGGCTCGATGATGAACGCGACCTAGGTGACGAACAATCAGACGGTCGATCCTTTTTACTGTACTGCACCAATCACAGATTTTTCTCTTGGATACTAACTTTTATCTTCCCTGACGCCAGTACGCCACTTAACGAGCCCCTTCACGTGGGCACTCCTAGACGCAAATCGACTACATCACTATCAGTTACTGTCTGTGATGCTGCATTACCGACATGAAATTAAAAGTGAAACACCGATCTCACTTCAGATGAGGTATTTGTGTGTTATGGTTGCTCTGCGTTTTGTTGGCTCCAACTGGCGTCGCTGGAACCGTCTTAACCCATTTCCTACTGGCCTCCTTTTGTATGGGCACCTAAAATATGTTTTAAACGTTAGTTAACGCAAACTTGGATTGACCAAATGATTTCAAAATACTAAGGATTAGTGAACGTCCAGTAAAAAACAAATATTGCCTTAATTCAACTTTCAGTCATATTTTAAATAGTATACTGGGATGCCGGCAGGAAATGGCTCAATGTGACCAAACTTGCCTCTCCCGACAGTCTGCGTTTCAGACCTCATTGGTCTCTAATATGAAGTCCTCCATACCCATTTGTCGAGATACATTCGGTACATATCCAGTGCCATGCGCAATTCCGTCTGCCATTTAGCAATGGACTTCCGCACGCTCCGTCAACTTTGTGATGCCCACCAAGCAATGCCTGCTGGCGCTGGGTACAATCCATTGCGCCTATCTACCGATACCGAGCTCAGACAGCTTCTTCGAGCCAGTCACTAATGCCATTGCATGTCGCCTGTCATCGCGATGGAACAAGCCGGTTCAGGGAACTTCCGCAAACTTGGTCTTCTCCGATCCACCAAATGTAACTGAAGTGCTATACGAAACCACCGGCGGGCCCATTCACAATCGCCAGCACCAATTTTTACGTTGGACAAAGGCACATTGAACAACATTTCAAATGGACTCCATGCTTTCGAATGTCCCCCATGGTATCCAGGGTGCCCCCTAGTGTGAAATGGAGCTTAGCAGAGATCATGGCTGTTTTCTATGAGGGTACTGGAACATATTACGCCAACTATCGAGGGGGAGCAGCTTCATATGTGTTGCGCCCACAGTGCTCGCTTCCGTGCTCTTACAGAGGCTAAGTAGGGCACGTGAACAGCGCCTATGTGAAGAGCATATTCGGCTTCTTTAAGCTCGGAGTTGTATTGATCACATATATACGATTCACCAGATACTTAAGCACTGCCGTGCTTTCATTCGGCCCACACTCGTATGCTCCCTTGACATACACTCTGTTTTTGACTCCGTTGACAAAGTTGATGTTTTTAGTTGCTTATTGAGAAATGCCCGAGAATTTCGTCAACATCCTCAAAGCAATCCACTCTTCTACCTCGAGCCGAGCGCAGGTATATGATGACCATTCGTAATCCCGTTATCACCAGTTGTGTGACAGGGCTGCTCCACATCACCCCTCTTGTTCAACTACGCTATGAATGACACCTTGGGGTGTGCTCCGGAAGGCTTTGGGCCAAGTGCTGTCGAGTTGCGCTTGAATGATCGGCTTCGTGACGGAGTGTGCTGACGATATCGTCATAATCTGTGAGTCCTCTCAGAGTACCCGGAACCTACTGGTCAGGTTGGAGCTGTCTCACGATTCGGAATAACCTTTGCTACGTCCAAGTTTAAGATTTTCCTTTAGCGCTGGGTCGGAGCTACTCCTCACCTCAATCTCAGGCTCTTCGTTAGACGTTGTTAACAAGTTCACTTGCTCTAGAAGCTGCATAAGCATAAGCGAACTAACGGATGAGCCAGTACTGGAAAGGCCAAACTAAGAAGCGCTTAACTACATGAAAGAACTCTCAATCTATAAAGGAAGAATGTTGGACCTGACATTCGGTAATGCACAATTCTTGGTAGGCCGTCTCTTAGTCGCACAATCCGGTTCGGAAGACGAAACTTTAGTCAGCACGATCATTCAATGCGGTAAATCCGATGATCGATGGACGATGCGAGCAGATCGATGATCGACAGCACAACACGCGTAGCCGAAATAGAAGGCGAAGCGGAACTTGCAACGTGTTTTCCCCGTTTTTTGGTCGGTTAAAGCAAAACTGTACAATAAATAATGGAAACAGGAATGGGAAGGTACGATTGTACGATCGCTACAGAACTCCCCCCTCGAGCGTGAGTCACTGAGACGAATGCTCGATACTTTCTTATCTGTCATAGTCTGGAAAGGAGAACTGTACATCCGAAGCGTGTTCGGTGGTGCGATTTCGTGTTTGTATCGTAAGATGTTTGGGGTACAGGAGAGGGAACAGAGGTGTCACACATGGGCTGAGTAGGAGGCGTACTTGGGTAGGTGGGCTGGTCAGTGACAGGAATGTCCATGGGCTTCGGTAGTGGTCGCGTCTCGATTTAGGCCGGGTTCAGGTGGTCAATACTCACAGTATTCTGCTAACCATTTCTATCCAGCACGAAGTACTTTACTTCCGGGCAACCACCTTAAGGAGCTCTCGTAAGGCGATGTCGGAGGTTTACGACACGCACGAGGACGAAGGAGTAAGTGCGCAAATCCAGGTGTACCTGTTGACTCTGAGGGCTGATTAGAGGTGGTGTTGGACGAATTGAGCTGAAGTGTTACCTTAGGAGTGTGACGCACGAGGTCGGATCAACTCCAGTCACACTTGTGTCTAGCATAATTTCTCCAAGAAGTCTGAGCGTGATGCCAAAGACTAATTCAGCGGGACAGCAGCCATTGTCTTCTTTAGTGACGTTACGAATACCAAGCAGGATAATCGCTAGATGTTCTGACCATTACGAGTTCGACTACGAAGCAGTGATTCTGGCTTTAAGTTGGCGATTGGCAGTTGGGTGATAGGCGGTTCTCCGTAGGTGTGAACAACCGAGCAAGCAGTTCAAGTCAAGAAACAAGGCCGAATGGAACTGGGACCTCTACCGTTAGTAATAGTGGCTGGTTTACCAAAGACGCAAATCCAATTTTCAATGGATGTTCACGCTACAGTTTCTGAAGAAACATCTCGTAAAGGCACCGCAAGTGGCCAACGCGTATGGCGATCAACACATGTCAATAAGTGGACAAAACCGTTGGATGGAGGCAAGGGTCCGACGATGTCAAGATGAACATGTTTGAAACGGGCGTCGGAAAGCGGTAACGTGCCGGGGACGGTAATCCTGTGACGGTGGATCTTACTGGTTTGGTAAGTGATACAGTGTTTGACCCACTGCTGAATCTCAGAGCGCATGTTAGGCCAAATGAAGCAATCAGTAATCAGCTTGACGGTGGCTTGGGTGTGAGATTCGATGCAGGTGGTCAAAGACGATTCGACGGTACTGCTAAGAGACAAAAGGCGGGGGCTTGCCGATAAAAATATCACAGTAAATTTTGGAGTCTACGTTAATGACTAACAGCTATGATAGCTCGATCGATGGCTTTGATCTCAGCTGCACAAACTCACGATCTCCTTCCTGATGGGCTGCTATGTCTTATAAGTTGATCGTCTGCCATGAAGCTTCGTGAAGACAGACACGCGACATGGCTTGGGTGGCAACGTTATTAGCGGCATCAACTTAGCGAATGTCGGTTGCAAACTGTGAGATATAATCCAAATGATAAATTTCTCTGAGGGAGAAATGGTCGGATGAACCATGGAAAGCAAGTGGTTTATGCTCTGTGGGAATGGTAAATCTGCGACCTTCAAGAAGGTGCCGGAAATGTCTAATATCGAGGTATATCGCTAAAAGTTTTCGACCAAAAGTACTGTATCGCGTCTGTGCGCGCTGAAGTTTGCGAGAGAAAAAGGATAGGGGCGCTGGTTAACCATCAATTACTTGCTGGAAAACAGCCCCGGCGGCGGTCTGAGATGCATCAGTCTTGAGGATGAGAGTAATATCAACAGCAGTCCTTAAATGACTAAGCGCAATAGCGTTGGACAACGCGTGCTTGATCCTGTGGTGTGCATCTATAGCTTCGTTAGTGGGCTCGAATTTTCGTTACCTACCTTTAAGTAAATCGGTCAATGGCTGGAATAGCCCTGAGCAATGTGGTTTGAAATGGTTGTAGTAATTTACCATGCCGAGAAAACGACGGAGATTTTTGAAGGATTGTGGCATGGGATCTTCTACAATTGCTTTGCTTTTTCGGGGAATGGAACAATGCCGTTGCATTAATTTCGGTGACCCAAAAAATCAACAGAACTTTGGCCAAAATCACACTTGTCAACATTGATTGTAATGCCATACTTAGCGAAACGTTCGTAAGTCGATCGAAGGCGTGACAGATGCTCATCTTGATTGGAGCTGGCTATAAGATATCGTCAATGTAAGCGAAGGCGAAGTTGAGTCCTCCAAGCACTTGGTCGATGAACCTTTGGAAAGTCAGTGCGGCATTTCGTAGACCAAATAGCATGCGAACGAATTCATAAAGAACAAATAGCGTGGTTGTGACGATCTTCTGAATATCGTCGGGGACAACTAGAATTTGGTAGTATGTACGCACTAAGTCTATCTTAGAGAACATTGTTCTTCCATGTAGACCACTTGAAAAGTCATAGATGTGCGGAGTCGGATGTCTATCAGGGACGGTGGAATTTTTTAATGCCCGGCAATCTCCAAAAGGTCTCCAGTCATCACTAGACTTTTTGGGAACCAAATGAAGCGGGGAGGACCATGGGCTTTTGGAAGGACGAACAATACCGAGACGAATCATATGTGCGAACTCTATCTTAGCAGTAGCGAGCTTGTCTGTAGGCAGTCGTCGAGGTCGGGCGGTTACTAGCGGTCTATGCGTTACGATGTGTTGCGTAATTTCGTGCTTAGGCTCAGGAAAGTCGTTAGACGATTGATCAAGAGCAGGAAACTGCAGAATTAGTTCGGTGAATACATTGTCGGCTGGTGGTGTCAAGCGAAGGCAGATCAAACTGACCGAGGTGACTTTACCCGGGATGGACAAGAATGTCAAACTATCGCGCAGTTTACGGTTACGCAAGTCCATGCTAAGGCCGAACTTGGTGAGAAAATCAACACCAAGAATGAGGCGTTGGACGTCAGCAATGATAAAAACGAAGGGAAAGCTTCGACGGAGACCAAGATTGAGAGTGAACTTTTTCTAGCTCTATGTATGGATCCTAGTATTGTTAACCGCTTGCAATGTCAGCCTGGTTGGAAGTAGGTTGCGTTTTCCTGCACCATCAAGAATAACGGCACCGGTGTCAATCAAGAAAGACAACTTGATTGAGGAATCGAGGTCGTAAGTAGGCGACTATAAAATGGCCAAACGCAGCCGTCGCCATCACTGACTGGCATGGAGGTTTCCCTGTTGAGGTTTGCTGAATGCTTTCGAATGCTTACAACTAGGTCGACAATTCCTTGCATCATCTCTAAAACGGTGGTGGTACCAACAGAAATGGCGTGCCGAATTCCTGACTGGACTACGTCTACTTCAAGAGGAGTGTTTATGGCTTCTACCACGGTAGTGATTAATGCTCGAGATAGCGAGCTCCAGCTTCGATAACCTCTCGGAAATCGTTTTAGTCGGGTCATTCTTATGATCGGCGTTAACGGTCGGCTCAACGGAGTGACATGCTGCGTTTTTAAAAATGCTCGCCGGTCTCAGCTATCTTGTCCAAAGACAGACAGACCATCTACGAGCACAGCAAGGAGACTGAGGTATTCGTTGAGAGACATTTCGTCCACGGCTGTCGCAGAATAGTGTCATCGATCCTAGTGGAACCGATCAACGTACGCATGCACCTGGGGTGTTGGGACGGCGTGCGATGGCCTAGCTCAATACCGGAAAGTAGCTGTCGAAGTCTAGTTTCGTCGTAAGCCATGGTGTTGTTTAAAACGGCGACTTTCAGCTTACCGTGAGGCACATCGGCCGGAATCGGATCGAGCAAATCTATAAAGCCAGTTGCGATGTGCATAGAAAGCTGGGCAGTAACATATGCGATTATTAATGACTGCGAAGTAATGCGACCGATGCGAAACAGGGGTTCCAATTGTAAAAACCACACATGAGGATTAAATGAATTGAAGACATGCGACGTGAGGCCAACAAAATTTTCTAGAATATCTGCGGGGAAAGTGGTCCGACATAGTAAAAACACAAAAAGGGAGTTCTGAGCTTGCAAAAATGGAAAACGTAGCCATCAAATTGTGGTGGAAAGACCAAACTAAAAAGCGCCTAACTACATAAAAGAACTCTCAGTCTATAAAGTAAGAATGTTGGACCTGACATTCGGTAAAGCACAATCCTTGGTAAGCCGTCTCTTAGTCGCACAATCCGGTTCGGAAGAGGAAACTTTAGTCAGCACGATCATTCGGCGCGGTAGATCCGATGATCGATGGACGAGGCGAGCGGACCGATGATCGACAGCACAACACGCTTAGCCGAAGTAGAAGGCGAACCGGAACTCGCAACGTGTTTTACCAGTTTTTTGGTCAGTTAAAATAAAACTACAATAAATAATGGAAACAGGAATGGGAAGGCACAATTGTACGAATAGAATTATACGATCGCTACAAGCCCTTACTATAGGAGCCTCCACCACCCTCCTACATCTGCGTCGGCAGGACTTTCACTAGAACCAAATCGAATTTCACTAGAACGTTTTGCCCACAACTCTGTGGTGCGAGCATTGCTCTTTTACGAGTGCAAGACCTAGCCCGTTAATGCGAGCGATGTTCAGGGACTGTGTCTTTTATCACCACTGCCTCCGGTCCGTCGCTTGTATACCTTGGCAGCACCGCATTAGTAATGATGGAGTTCGGTGTCGGATTTTCAAATCAGATTGCTGACTGCTGCGTTGCATAATTTTCCTGCACGTTTTATGTTTCCAGCGTTTGTTTCGGGTGTCTGTTCAGCAGTTGCCCCGCTTTGTACGTACCTGTGTTGATTGGGGCGACGTAGTGATGGCCAATACACAATTATGGCTCTGGAGGTAAACGCGCTGACATTAAAGTTGGTCATTTGGGTATTCCGTGCTCCCGGGTTGGGGACTCAAGGACCGCGATCAGACCTGGTTTGAAACTAGTGCGCATATAGCACAAAACCGCACTCAGTGGCGAATTCGCTGTGTAACTCCCCTCCCCTAACTGTCTTCTTTACCTTTTATCCTATTGCCCATATTTTTGGACGCTGTCAAGTATACATTGTTTAATTATTGCAATATATATATATATATATATATATATATATATATATATATATATATATTCATCATCTGTGTCCAATGCTGAGGCTGATGTTGCATACATGATGCTTCTTCACCGCAGTTGGGCTAAACCAACTTACACTTAAACTAGGTCTTTATGGTGTGGATAAAATTCATTCCAATTTATTTGGTTTGTTGTGCGTACTTGATAATCTTCTCCTAACTTGCACACGTCGCTCATGCAAATTGTGGTAAACTTGCGTAACTTTATCACGTGGTATTTTGGAAATAACTTTCGGACATTTTGTACTTATTGCGGATTCACTTATAACCAATTTCTTCCATATGCTCATTTAGCGAGTATTTATGTCGTCATATGCGTTTACTTTATTCGATATCGGTATTTCGAATGATTGGCTGTTGTTTGACATCCCAGGTGTGGCTGCGCTTGATAGGAATGTTGACAAGGTGTCTACCTGTCTATTACCCATTACCTCGTCCATACTGGCTCCAGGAGACAGTTGGTCGTTGCTAGAGGGGACGGGGTGCACGGTCCTTGTGGCCGTGTTAGGCTCGAAGCGTGGTTCCATACAGTCAGTATAAAGCGGACCATGGTCCAGCCACCGCCTTGTGTGCGCTCGACTCCCAAATACAGCGTGCTTGTGCTTGACTGTGATGGAGTGTGGGCAGGCTCCGTTGATGAAACGTGGCTCCCATCCACATGCCTCCCGGTCTTATTCCTTCGGGTTTACACTGGATATGGGGTGTGTGGATGGAGCTGTGGGTGGTGCAGCGCAAGCTAGCCATGGTTCCTCTGTAGGCGCAAGCATCCTGTGACTGGCCACAGTGACAGGCAAATCCGAAACCGGATGCCGCCAACCATATTCACCATCTGATTACGGACAACGGGCCACCGGAACCATGGGAAAAGGGGAAAACAGAATACTGTAGCAAAAGAAAATCTTTTTTGGGTTTTACACACGCCATGGCGTGCGGGCTACAGCATTACGTGGGAAAGGAACATTGCTCGTCTACATAGGGAACCCTCTTCTACCTTTGCACTTTGGATTATAACTTGGATCCTGACCTCTACATTGCTCCCATGCATGCTTTTATGTTGCTCCAATATTGCTGTCTTCTTACCTTCTGTTACCACTTTGTTCATTTTTTTGTTTCTCCTGAGCACATTTCTAGTGCCCACAACAGTATGGTTTTCCGCTGATCCTTTTCGAAATATGTGTAGCGGACTGTCCATGTAATCAGCCGTCGAAGACTTTCCCTGCTCAAATGGTCTTTTAGACCCTACAGTTTTCTAACATTCCACTTAAATATCAGCACTGCTTATAATCGCTTGTCCTATCGTTCAAATATATACTCCATATCTGTTGTTGCGGCGTTTGCAGAGGCGCAACACAGCATCTGTTTTTTTAATCATTTGACCTCAGTTTCTAGCAAATACTCTTAGTTTCGTGTGCTGTTACCCTGCCATTTCTGATGGGCATGTTGTCCTGTTTGTTTTCAGTAAAGCTGTGGAAACGTGCGTTGCAGAAGTTGCATTCGATCGATTTGGATCCTTGGTTGGACTTTCCCACACATGATATCCCCGTAGAAACCGCTGTTCGACACCGGTATAGTGCTATCAAAAAGAAATGGGTGATCGACGAAATACACGTCAAGATGGAATCCAACCCTTTTGATCGTGGCGCAATGCGTGAATGCTTTCGTTTGTGAGTCTTTCGCTTCATCGACCATTTGACTCTTACCCAATGAATAAAATTGCCCTTGTGTTTTAGCTGTCTCCACCCTTTCAATTCATTATGCATGAAGCCGTCATTCCGCGTGATTTATTTGGCTTACCTTGAACACGTATCTCTTGCGTTGTCCTAACGCAACACATAAGATTAGTATGCTACTAATGCGGGTGGTTGCAACTATTGACAGCGTATCAACTAACTCTGCTGTTACGAAGCAGTACTACACTCTACTCGATGTTCCGGCCAACGGTCTTTCCCAACTGCCCTTTGTTACTGCTTTACTCCATAGTGCCAATGTAAGCGTTTGTTTTTATCATCTGTGCCCAAGTGTAGTGGTTGATGAATTGCTACCAAATTCCTACAAAATGAAGTCGTAGCTTAATCAAATCCATCTAAAAAGTCGGATCAGGTTTTGATTGGTCTGAGAACTGGGCAGTTTTCTGGTCAACCAAAATCAGACCAGCCAACCCGGACAATAGGCATCTTGATTTTATTACAGAAAACCGTATGTTTACATCACATCCCTGCATCCCACAATCACTTTCGAAGTCGATGGCCCGCTGACATTCCCGCTTATGTGTACCGGTTGCCATTCGGTTATGGAACTCAAGCTCGCTAATAGCTAACTTCTCAGATCATCACATGCAGTGCAGTCTCTCAGTCATAATCCGTACGCTTTTGCAATCGAGCCTTTCACAGTTTTGAAACAAAAGGCCGAAAACGGGTACACAACTGGTTTCTCGATTACGCAACGTCGGTAACGGAATCCAACCACTGGTGTGGCCGATTCCGAGACCATTGTCCAATGGTACGGTACGAGGTAACCAGCCTGTTGGTGCTCTCAGTCAACTGAAAGAATGCAGGGAAATATCTTTCTGTTCTTTGATCCATAAACTGCTTACACATTTGTGCTAGACGCTCTCCCTACCAGTGCTTTACTTCAAAGTTGCAGTACCTGATTTAGCTCGCCATTGACTTTTCTGTTGCAAAGCCATCTTTGATCTTCAAGTAGTTGTTCATTGATCCGGTACCATTCTGGCGAACTTCAAATTTTCTACAAATGAAGTGTACCATATTTTTACCCATCTCGTGGCGATTCTCCGTGCTTACACACACAATTCTGTTCATTACTGTAACCAAATCCGGTTGATGGCCAGCCGTTGACGACCACTATTTCCACAAGACCTTGCACCACAGTCTTGTACAAATCTCGTATCGAACCCGGTTGTACCTACACTTGATTGGTATAACTGTGGGACACGATTCGTTAAACCTCGCACCGGGGATCAACCACATTTACTTGCTTGGTGATCGACTTTCAGTCTGTGTACAATTCAGTCACCTCGCTCACCCGTCCTACGTTTGCATCGGTTGTGATTACCGACCATTAGTACATCTCTGATGAGCTCTCACCTTATCGTATACCGACTCACTTCAACTGGAACTCGTTTTTATCTGATAACTTCTAAAGATCGCGAATATACTTGGACTTCTACTAGTAGTTTCCTAGCACTATCAGGAATGCTTACCCCGGCATACAATCTCGTGTTATAAATCATTATCACACCTGAGCTTTGCCGAACTTGTCACTGTTGGTGTTGCACTAACTTTGAGGTACCCTTTATTCTTCTCAATCAGTCGACTTTTATCTTACTCTTCAGAAAGAAACTTCCTCAGACTGGCACACATGCGAACGATTGGCACTATGCATCCAATTACGTAGTCAAACGCTACATTTCCAACGTGGATAGACAGGTTTACTTTGATGATGTCCGCCTCCAAATGGAAGCCAAGCTTTGGGCTGAAGCATTTAACAGACAAGCACCCCCGAAAAAAGTGAGTACGCTCTGTTCCCCTTCACCTACGAGTAGTCGTTCTCCAGTTAGGATATTAGTTGTCTGCGCCTTGGTATCATTCTTGTAAGCATCGGCATTGACGCATACTGTACAATCGTCGCAATGAGACTGGACCTTATCTATTTGTAACATTTTGCCTATCTGGAATTGCTTATGGGCACTCTAGGCTACTCCTACCACGTCGGTCAGTTATTAGGTATGATGTAAGCTTATTCTTCTAGTCCTTCACATTGGGGGAAGGGTTTAAACAGCTGTCACCCATTTGTTTGAAAATTTCTCAGGTTGTGTAAACCATCGCCATTTTCCGTTACCTTTCTACCAGGCTACAGAACTCAGGAATTTGACTAAGCGTCCTGAT